GCCCTCCTCAATACCCATCACCCACCCTCTCCTCCCTCCCACCCCCCATCAACCCTTAGTTTGTTCTCAGTTCTCAACAGTCTCTTATGCTTTGGCTCTCTCTCACTCTAACCTCTTTTTTTTTTTTTCCTTCCCCTCCCCCATGGGTTCCTGTTAAGTTTCTCAGGATCCACATAAGAGTGAAACCATATGGTATCTGTCTTTCTCTGTATGGCTTATTTCACTTAGCATCACACTCTCCAGTTCCATCCACATTGCTACAAAAGGCCATATTTCATTTTTTCTCATTGCCATGTAGTATTCCATTGTGTATATAAACCACAATTTCTTTATCCATTCATCAGTTGATGGACATTTAGGCTCTTTCCATAATTTGGCTATTGTTGAGATAAGCACTCTTTTAAAAGTGAAAACATTCTCCTATTTTTAACAAATATATATTGATTATTGGTATCTCATGGCAATTGCCAAATACTGGAGACGAAATATGATTAAGATTCATTTCCCTTGCTTTGGCTCTTCCAAATTTTGCTGTAAATATACTGAAGAAATAATTAGATGGAAGTGAAGATGTGCATCAGGCCCTTTTTTAACGTTCTGGGCCCAGTGCTAGGCACTTCACACATCATCTCATTTAATCCTTAATCTCTGCAGAATTCTGGTTTTAATTTTTTCTCTTTACTCTGAAGAAAGCCAAGACTTAGGGACGCCTGCATGGCTCAGTTGGTTAAGCATCCAACTCTTGGTTTCGGCCCAGGTCATGATCTCAGGATTCGTGGGATTGAGTCCTGCGTCAGGCTCTGGGCTGACAGTATGGAGCTTGCTTGGGATTCTCTCTCTCCTCTCTGTGCCCCTCCCCTACTCGCACAAGCATGTGCTTCTGTGAGCTCTCTCTCTCTCTCAAAATAAACATTAAAAAAAAAGAAGAAGAAAAAAGCTACGAGTTAGGTTAATGTATCCCCAGTCAAAATGAGATTGGCTCCTAAGGCTCTACGATCCTAAAGTCTAACTTGCAAATCATTACATGTTTTGCTACCGCGTTCCTAGAATTCTACTAAATATTTTTCTAAAATGAGAAAGGGTACTTCTGGAACGGGCTTCATTCCTTGCTTTTGAACATTTCTGTGATCTCACTTTGCTGGAGAAATTTAACATTCCATAATCCGTATAAACACAGACTCCTTTTTAGTGTGTGTGTGTACACACATATGCACACAACAAAGAGAATTGTGAACACTTGAGGAGCAAGTTTATGGCTCTATTATCTACTCTGCGATATAGAGGGTGTTGTAATTTTGTCTTTGGATGCAAAACAGCGGCCAACTTTGGCAGACAAACACAGAGAGCCAGTTTTTGGCATAAATCTCTGATTTTCTGGCAAAACTCGTTAGCAATGTAAAAACTGTTATTGAGAGCATATTGTGATGATACATCATGTCAATATTTGTTTGGCTGTGTAACACTGGGTTTAATAAATTATGTCTTAAATGCACAATTTACAACTGATGAGCTGTTTAGAAATAAACTGTATGTGGTATTTGTTGTCAGCACGACAAACATTTTGACGTCTCAAGTACTTGCCTCCCTGATTGTCGAGATAAATGTATGGCTGGATTAGGGCTCGTTGAGTTCTCCTTCAGTGTGAAAATTACGCAGCAATGAATAAATGAGTGAGTCACAGAGGTCTTAATCCCTTGTGACTTCTGCCATAAATGCATTATTATCTGCTAGACTATTTTACTTGACATTTCTGTTGTGGCATAGTGTCAAAAATGCCTTAAAAATGTTGTTGTTGTTGAATTATTAAATCATTTTTTGTTTGCTTTCTTGGTATGTGAGAAAGGTCCACCTGGCACCTTGAGCCTTAAACCTAAACCATAAAGGAAGCATCACTATTAACTTCTTTCTAAAAAAAATAGTGCCTCTGGACAACTAATATTTATTGCGCCTTTATCATGTATTAGGCACAAGGTTTTATGTTTCGCATTCTTATTGAATCCTCATTGTAATCTATAGGTCAATAATATCTTTTCGCCATACTTTAGATTAAGAAGCTAGAACTTTCAGGGGCACCTGGGTGGCACAGTTGGTTAAGCGACCGACTTCGGCTCGGGTCATGATCTCAGTTTGTGGGCTCAAGCCCCCATGGGGCTCTGTGCTGACAGCCCTGAGCCTGGAGCCCGCTTCTGATTCTGTGTCTCCCTCTCCCTCTGCCCCTCCCCCACTCGTGCTTTGTTTCGGTCTCAAAAATGAATACACATTAAAAAAAAAAAAAAGCTAGAACTTTCAGAGATTGGTAATTTCCCCAAGGTTCTACAACTAATAAGCAGTGAAGATGTAACTGTACCCTTACCCATGCAGCCCCTGGACATGCCCTCCTAGCCAATGCTTTGCACGGCCCCTCTGACTGGGGCCCTGGGGAGTTAGTGTAGTTCAAAACCCAGAAAGCCGGTGCCTCCCACTTGCCACCTTCTTCTGCCTATTTTCTTCTTCCTCACTCTCTTGACCTCGTTAACCCTCCCGTGTTAAAGCCAGTGAAAAAGGAGGAAGGCATGAATACAACTGCACCCCTATTTCTTCCTGCTGCTTCATAGCTAGCTATTTGAAATTCTTTGGTTCCTTTATTCAGGCATTTTTGTTTTAATGTTTATTTATTTATTTGGAGAGAGAGAGAGACAGCATGAATGGGGGAAGGCAGAGAGGGAGAGAGATAATCCCCAGCAGGCTCCGCGCTGTCGGCACAAAGCCTGATGGGGGGGTCCATCTCACATGGGGCCCAATCTCATGAACCTGAGCTGAAACCAAGAGTCAGAGGCTTAACTGACTGAGCCACCCAGGTGCCCCATGCTGGCATTTATCTGCCAAGCATGCAAAGATGGAGAAGACCCGCTCGCTGCCTTTCGCAGTTAAAGTCCATGCTCCAAAAAGGCTTGGAGAGGGGCTGTAATGGCAGCAGTTTCTAGCTACTTCAGCCATCGTAGGTATGATTGGATGTTCCCATCCTTTGTTTAAGGCCTGACAAAGTCCCATTACAGCTTCCTACTCGCAAAAATTTAGGCTATACCAGATGATTTAAATGGTGTCCAGCAAAGAGTAGAAGAGCCCTGAGGCCAAGGTCCATGAGTCTGGAGATAAGGTAAGAAACTGTATGTAAAACAAAAAAGGCAAGGCCAGGAAACAAGGTAGTAACCAAAGGAGAGGGACAAAAAAACTTAGAATTCAGGAATAAGATAGAACTAGAAATTCTAAACTGGATGACTGGTCAAGAATCAGAAAGTCCGTGGGTAATGGAAAGGTCAAGGCATGCTAGGTATTTCGGGGTATGAACTGGCTAGAGCAGTGGGTAAATTCGTGTTGACGTGTCTCAGGGGGTGTTCAGAAATCAGAATTTTTTTTAATATTTATTTTTGGGAGAGTGCAAGCGGGGGCGGGGTTGGGGCAGAGAGAGGGGGACAGAGGATCTGAAGTGGGCTCTGTGCTGACAGGCTGACAGCAGTGAGCCCAATGTGGGGCTCGAACCCACGAACGGCGAGATCGTCACCTGAGCCGAAATCGGTTGCTCAACTGACGGAGCCACCCAGGTGCCCCCAGAAATCGGAAGTTTAATTTGTCACAACTACTGTCCCAGCCAAGAAGCAGGAGGAAATCTGAAGTCAAGGACCTGATCCGTTCAGTCCTTCTGGTGAGAACCAAAGAACCACATTAGGAGATTGCTCAAATAGGCTAATAGAAAATAGTGTTTTATTAGGACAGATACAGGCACTGCACATAGTTATGCTTTTCAGAAACTTCACTGAAAATGAGCACTAAGTAGAATAATGGTGTCTTCAAATTATTTTTCAACTGCAATTGTTCTTGTAATAACTAGAGTGACAGTATCAGTGTAACAAGATGATGTCTAAAGTAAGAAATGTCAATTTTAAACTGTAAGCCTATATACAGTATTGGTTTGCTCAGGCTGCTGTAACAAAGCAACAGAAACTGGGTGGCTTACGTAATAGAAACTTATTATCTGACAAACAGTTCTGGAGCCTAGAAGTCTGAAACCAAGTTGTCAGAAGGGCTGGTCCCTTTCGATGGCTCTGAAGGATTCCACCCTTCTCCTTGATGGGTCGACAGCGCTCTGCTCCCCGTCTCTTCACATCTTCCTCCCCCTGTGTTTATTGTCTCTTTATTCTAACTTGCCCTTTTTATTTATTTTTTCTTAGTGTTTATTTATTTTTGAAAGAGAGCGAGAGAGTGGGGAAGGGTAGTGAGAGAGGGAGACACAGAATCGGAAGCAGGCTCCAGGCTCTGAGCTGTCAGCACGGAGCTGGATGCAGGGCTCGAACTCACGAAGGTCATGACTTGAGCCGAAGTCGGAGGCTCAACCGACTGAGACACCCAGGCACCCCTAACTTGCCCTTTTTAAAGGAAACCAGTATATTGAATTAAGACCAATACCAAACACCTCACCTTAACCAAACTAATTATATCTAATGACCCAATTTCCAAATTAGATGACCTTCTGGGGACTAGACCTTAGGATGCCAACATGCCTTTTGTTTGGTTGTTTTGTTGTTATGCAGGTGGTTGGAGAAGAGGACGCAATTCAACCTATGATAGCCTACCTCATGCTGTCGGTCAGTCGCAGCTTTCCAGATAAGGCTATAGGTGAAATATATATATGAAGTACAAAGTGTGCCACCTGCCCCCATCCTTGCCTATGTGAATACAATTGACAAATCCAATCAGAAATTTATGAATAAAGCCCCATAATGTAAAAATTCAGTTGAGTCCATTGGTATAAGTTTCCCTTCTAGGAAAGTGAAATGCATTTTAATCCCCAAATTTCACTTCGCCTCTTCCAACAATCCATCGCCTAGCGCCAACGCAACACCACGGCAAGACTATGACATTGAGTTACTCTGTTCTTTGGGTCCTCCCCTGGGAACGCAGAACAATACCCCAGAGTCCTACAGCTGAAGGAACAGAAGTTCTGGCCTGTAATGCAGATACCTTAACGATGAGTCCCCAAACAGTCATCAGCTTGAGTTTTTGACCGTGGCTGAAAACTTGTATCTGTAAGATTTCTCAACTTAGATGTTTTACTGTACACAACCATATCATTCAAACAAACGAAAAGTTGTTCTTTCATTTTATTTTTCTTTTCAGTACCCAGACTGCTTTCCATTGCCTACAAAACTTACAGAGATGCAACAAGCTGAATCCATCATTCAAACTACCCATCTGATACAAAAAAAAAAAAAGTGTGGGCATCCAAAGTGTCCTCTGAAAGAACGACATGTAAGCAGAGAGAAGCTGTTAACCTGGAGGCTTCATATTAAATGGGAAATGGAAACAGCAGAGCCAATTATTGGTACATTTCTGCTTGTTGAGGAGACTTCAAAATAGAAGTTGTTTTAAAAATCTGCCTCTAAAGATTTTCTTTTCGGTAAAACTGAAAAAAATATATGATAGGCCATATATAAAAAAGAACATCCATCCTGCCTGCCAAAGTAATCGTTCACTTCCCCTTCCCAGATTCCAGGCACAGGATAATTGCCTCTCGGAGATGCTTTGTTGTTTTAGGCGTTCTAAATAAACCTCTCTCCGGTGGCCCCTCTTAACAGCAGCACCCCCCAGGAACCCGCCATTGAGCCTTGAAACTGTAATTTGTTTCAGGCACTCCGAGCAAAATACATTGTCTCCCAATCTCTAAACTTGATAATTAGGTGTATTTAGTTAGAGTTAAAAATAAAATAAAGTGGAAAGTTATCCAGGTGCAAGTTATTAAACTGAAGAGATGGCAGAACAGAGCGGGGGACTTCAGAAAGCAGACACATTTTTGGTGCACGTCACATGTTGCAGACACTTTGCTGAGTGCTTTATCCAACATACCTCTTACTTCTTCCCAGTGATCCATTTAGGTATGTATTTTATGGATGTTGAGGGAACGGAAATGACTTATGCACCAAGTAAATGGTAGAAGTGGGAGTCAAACCCACCCACATTTGTTTGAGTCCAAAGCTTACATTCCTTCCACTCATTTCCAGCAATTGAGGCATAGGAAGAGAATGTGCAGAGCATGCCAATTTAATTTTTTAACCCATTGCATTCTGGTCCCTTGCGTCTTTATATCAGAATTCTGTCTCTGCTACATCTCACCCTGCACCCTTGACCCATAAAGCCTTTACAGGCATTCTAGTATCCATTCTTTAGGGTGTGCTATTCTTGCCTAGAATGTCCATTTCTGCTCCTCTCTCTCCGCCAGGTTCTTAACTAGGTGCAGTGACACTCTTCTAGGAGACGTGGGAAACTCTGTACGGAGTTGATGGTTGTCATGATGGGGGTGCTATAAGCACCGGAAGCTGGAGCTGCTTAGCAGTCTGCGAGGCCATGCCTCCCGGACAGCCCTGGACAGCAGAGAACCGCTCTGTAAAATGTCTATTGAGCCCCACCAGGAGCATTGACCCTGAATGTCACTCATCCCTCCAGTACCACCACCTGCACGAAGTGGTTAATGTCCCATACCCTTGGACCTGAAATGATGTGCCCCTCCTCAGGAATTCAAAAAGTCTTCTCATGTGCATTTAGTGCTAATGAGTTTGAATTTAATTGTTAGTTATCTTCTCTTATTGTTTTATGCTTCTTTAATCACAATCAAAACAGCAAATATTCATGTAGCTTATATAGTGTGAATTTGCCAGTCATTGCTTTCAGTGTTTTATGCATATATTAACTCAATCCTCCCAGTAACACTACGGAATTTTTTTTTTCTCATTTTACAGACAGAAAAACTGAGAACAGAGAGATTACTTAACCTGCATGGAGTCACAGGACTCACAAGTATTGAGGGCTATGGTTCAAACGCAGAGATTTTGGCTCCAGACTCTGATTCTTATTTTAACTTCCAAATTTGATAGCCTTTCCAGAGAAACATGTCCTGAGTGCCTATTACAGACCAAACACAAAAATAAAACTTTAGTTTTTAGAAAACATCAATAAAACTCTGGAGTAACATACAGAAGTAGCTGGGATACTTAACCCAGCTAAAGGGGATAAGGAAGGTCTCCCAGAAGGATGAACTAAAATCTGGAGCAACTTCAGGGCAAGAAGCAATGGAAAATGAGGCTGGAGAGTCAGCAGAGACAGATCACAGCGGAGTCGCGTCAACTAGCTTACGCCTCATCTTGCAGCTAGGAGCTTTTAATCGAGTGGTTACCCACTGACGTAAGAGTTTTGCCAATATTACCCTGGCATCTGTGCGAACATGATGTGAGGAGAATCAGATCGACAACAGGGACGGCCATTAGGAGGCTGTGTTGTGCAGAGTAAAAGATGTGGTCGAGGATGGTGGTAACCATGACGATGATGGCACGTGCCTGCCTGAACGAGGGCATCACTACCTCTGCCACGGCCTGAAGTGGACTGTTCTCTCCAGGCCACGTTGAATCCCCCACCTTTCGTCCACCTTCCTTCGGTATCCACCTGCTACAGCCCCGCATGGCCCCTACAACTTTGCTTGGATAAGTGGATTGCAAATCAAGCTTGTAGTTCTTATACTCAAACGGAGAGACGACGTCATGTACGGAGGTGAACATTCAGCCAGGGATCGTAGCATCTGGATTCAGTTCTGGTGTTGCTTTTGAGTACTTGTGTCTCTTAACATCTAGGAATATATTTCATTATCCGTACAAACAGGGGCACTTTTGGAAAGGCCAGAAATAGAGAAGGTGTCCATCAGCTTTTTCAGGGATGAATGCTACCTATCTCCTGAAGACTAAATGGTTATTTTATTATAATCCTGGGAAGTCTTTAAATGTCTTTTTCTTATTTTGAAAGAGACACCTCCGTTTTATCATTTTGCCTAAAACAAGCTTACAGTTATTACCTTTAAATCTGCAAACTAGCCAGGCTGTGCCCTTGGTTCACTTCTTTGGAAATTCTATGGAAGTCAGTGGGATGTGGCAATGATTATCTGACAGCTGAGCCTGGCCTGTGTTCCTGTGTGATTAGCATGGCGGGAGGCCAGATAGAACTTGGGAAGCAAAGGGCTGTATTTGCATGAACAGTGCCCCTGGAACGTAAATTTTAAAAGAGATGCATGAGGGAAATAATGACTCCAACAGACCCGTCTGGTCCTCTGTTTTCATCTTCACCTACCAAGCACCCTTTGCTGTAAAGATACAAGATATCTGTTGCATATGTACATATATATATATATTTTTTTCATATATATATATGAAGGGAGGGGTTGGGGGTGGGGGGGTGGGTGTGTTTTCTGTGCTTGGTGTGTTAGTCTGTGACGTCTGTCTGTGTTGGGTGCTGTGTATGTCTCTGTTTCAGGCAAGATGAGGACTGGAAGGGATCCCCAGGGAAGTCACATAGCAGGTAAATATCTCAAGACTTAGCACGGTTTTCATACTTAGCAGTTTATGCACCTGTGTTCCCATGTGTATTGTGTGTGACTGCAGCCCAGAGTCTGTGTGTTCTCACTCTGTACTCAGCGTGATGTTTGGCACACAGAAAGAGATCAAAATTTGTTGAGTTTCTTGTGATCAAATCCGCCCCAATTTTGCTAATCAGTTTGGAGCGATTGCTTCTTCTTTTTGTATGCGGCTCTGGGAATTTCTCTCAAGCAAGGAAAATAAAGTGGTTTTTGATATATATGGCAGAGAGAGCGTTAATCCTAAAATGGAGGGGTCTTTGCAAACTCAAGAAAAGAGCACTCAGTGGGGAATAAAAATTCACTGAAAAAGGAATTCAAATAACTTATAAGTAGATTTAAACATTTTCAAACTCCCGGCAATCAGAGATGCAAAATAATACAATATGATGCTATTTCATCCATCAAAACGCCAAAGATTAAAATCTAAAGATGATGCTCAGAGTTGGTAAAGATGCAAAAAATAGATACTCTTACACAGGCCGGGTGTAAGTGGAAAGTGATTCAATCTTTCTGGAGGGCCTCTGGTAACATTGTCACAAGTCTCAAATATCTCCTTTTAACCTGTATTTCCATTTTCAAGAATTTATTAAGTGGAAGTGATAAGACATGTGAAGAAAGGTTTCTGTACAAGGATATCCATCGCATTACATATAAAAGCAAAAACAGAAAACATAAAGGAAATAACCTAAATGTTAAACAATAAAGATTCAGGTATAAAAGTATATTGCACATAAAATGTAGTAATACCATTGGAAAAAATTCATGATAAAATATTAAATAAAAATAATGTATAAGACTACATATATAGGGGTGCCTGGGTGGCTCAGTTGGTTAAGCATCCGACTTCAGCTCAGGTCATGATCTCAAGGTTTGTGGGTTCAAGCCCCACATCCGGCTCTGTGCTGACAACTCAAAGCCTGGAACCTGCTTCGGATTCTTTGCCTCCCTCTGCCTCTCTACTCCTCCCCTGCTTGTGCGCTCTCTCTCTCTCTCTCCCTCTCTCTCCCTCTTTGTATCAAAAATAAATAAATACACATTAAAAAAAGACTACATATATAATGTACAAAATATTATATAACTGCTTCGATTTGCGCAGTGGTTAGGTGTTTTAAATTTTTTTGACATTTTTATATTCTCCAAATTTTTAATATGAGAGCATGTGTTCCCTGTGTGTCTGTGTATGTTTAATCTTAATTTTTAACAGTTGCCGCTATTGAATATGTATTACAAAAAGAATAAAGTTTGTTGAGAATCTGTTAAGATTTTGGAAATCCTGAATGTTCAATGTACTACCTCTAGATATTTATTCAGGAGAGAAATGCCATAATTTCCCTCTTTTCTTCTACTTCCTTGGACAGTTCCTAATGCTTCAGTTGCTTGCTGAGTATCAAGTCAGCTAACATTTTTTCACTGTCAGACACTACTTCTAAATGCATTATTTTGTCTTTTTTTTTTTTTATACTTAGGTATTTCATCTGTTTGATGTGGTTGCAAACGGCACTGTTTTCTTAATTTCTCTCTCTGATAGTTTGTGATTAGCGTATAGAAATGAACTGATTTTTATGTATTGATTTTGTATCTTACAAGTACTGAATTCATTTGTTAGTTCTAAGAGTTTTTTTGTGGATTCTTTAGTTTTCTACACATAATGTCGCGTCATGTGCAAACAGAGACAGCTTTATTCCTTCCTTTCTGATCTGGATGCCTTTTATTTCTTTTTCTTGCCTAATTGTTCTGGCCAGGACTTCCAGTCTATGTTGGAAAAAAGTTCTGAAAGTGAGGGGCACCTGGGTGGTTCAGTCGGTTAAGTGGCTGACTTCAGCTCAGGTCATGATCTCGTGATCTGTGGGTTGGAGCCCTACATACAGCTCAAAGTCTGGAGACTGTTTCAGATTCTGTGTCTCCCTCTCTCTCTGCTCCTCCCCAGCTCATGCTCTGTCTCTCTCTGTCTCTCAAAAATGAATAAATGTTAAAAAAAATTTTTTTAAAGTGCTGAGAATGAGTATCCGTGTCCTTCTCCTGATTTTAAAGGAAAAGCTTTCAGTTTTTCACCATTAGGTCTGCTGGTAGCTGTGGGCATGTCATAAGTGGCCTTTATGTTAGAGCTACATTTCTCCTATACTCAAGTTGGTTGAGAGTTTTTCTCATGAATCAATGTTGAATTTCATCAAATGCTTTTTCTACATCTATTGAGATGACCATATCATTTTTATCCTTCATTTTGTTAATGTGGTTTTTCACAGTGGTTGATTTGCTGATGCTGAACATCCTTGCATCCCTGGAATAAATTCTACTTGATCATTTTTTTTTTTTTGTCTTTAACCAAGTGATTGTTTTTTATTCTAAATAATACATGATCATAGAAGTTTTTTAAATATTGA